ATCTGGACAATAAAGATGTATCTTATCTTATCTTATCTTAGATCCTAGATTCTAGATCTAGATCTAGATCTAGATAGGCTACGTTTATCCATTAAATACTCTCTCTCTCTGGGCTAAAATATATTAATTTTAGTAGGCCTTGGCTAGACATACCACCCGAGACGATCGCAGTAGCCTTGCATTGTAACCAATGTAAACTATCGCCAGCCCAGCGAGTTATATGCGCAGCTGGTAAAGTGGGAGGGATCTGCGCTTGTCACATGACGTAAAGAAGAGTTGTCTTGTCTTGTCTTATTCCGTCTTGGCTACGCATGACCATAGACAGGTTAAAAATAAAGCACAGAGAGAGAAATGAGAAATTTCACATCTTTTAAAAACTTGCGTTTTTTAATGGGCTCCTGGCAATGACTGTTGCCTAAGCTAGAAAATACTTTGCTGGCATCTGTGAAGGTAGGTTGTCCTAAACTGTAGAAGTTGATTGATTTGTTAGAATATCCTTGAGCAAGAGGATAATTTAACTTATTGTTAACATGCTGTTATTTTTTATTTCCAGTATACACTCTTTGGCAGTTTCCTGAAATGCTACCAACATTTCGAACATGGCCGCCTGTATTTTCAAAACTCCAGAAGGGAGCTGGTGAGTCTTTCCCTTTTTTGTAAAGGTTATTGCTCATTTGTCATCGCTCTTGGGTTAAAATGTTTGACATTGGCTTGACTTTTGGTTGTCTTGAGTAGGATTATATTGTTATGCTTTTGGAATTAAGTGGTTAGACTACTGGACTCCTAATCATGAGGTTATGGGGTGTGGGGGTTTGAGCTTCAGGCCCAATGTTGTGTCCATGGGAAAAGCACATTACACATATTTTCCTCACTTCACCCAGGTGTGAATGGGTACCCCATCATAGTTAACAAAAGATCTTGTCTGTATGTTAGTGTTTTAGTCGATGTAAAATGGCAACGTGAAAATGCTTCCCAGAAGGTTTATATTGTTTCAGAATACTATCAGGTCTGCTTGGGTAATAATATAGATTGTAAAGCGCACAAAGCTTGCCGCTGAGGGGGAATTTGCACTCTCTACAAATGCTATTTATTAGTTTGATGATGATGATTATTATTATTGTTATTATTATTTTCATAATTGTTATTATTATTATTTTCACTTGTTTTCCACAGTTTTTCCAGGTATAGTTTGGCTTATAAGTTGAGGCAGTTTATGGAAAAGTGTATCTGAATCACTTCCTCATGAAGTCAGTTCTAGTGGTTTCTTAAAGTTAAGAATTGCTACTTAGTTTACTTTGTGTCCATTTCTCCTGGTTTCTGTGATTTATAGTGAGGGATGCTTATTTCAACTTGCTTTGTTCTTCTTTTCTTCATATGTCCCTTGAAGACTTGATGCTCCCAGGTGTCATCCCAGATAAACGTCCATCCCCAAAGATGTTTGGAAATCTTCAGAAAGGTGATCTGGTCACCGTCACTGTGGCAGGAAACAAGTAATTTGACCAGAGGCTTCAATGTATATGTCCGATCCGTCATTGTTTGTATTTGTTTCTGATTAGTTATGGGTAATATTCATAGCACTGAAAAATGCATGCTTGCACTGAAATAAGAACTGTGAAATCTTGGGAGGATAAGAATTATCACAAAGAAGATAGAACCATTGTCTCTCATATCTCCATATATTATTGAGGAAAAGATAGTGAGGTTTCTTTTTGTTAAGGTGTAATTTGCATAAAAATTTGAGATTCTATTGTTGAAACTAAATAATGCAATAAATCGAAAAGATCATTTAGGATTTGTCAAAATTAGATGCTTTTGAAACAAGCTGTGTATATATAACTGCCTGCAAATGTTGATTTAATGTATTTAAAAAGAAATGAAAATTTGTGGTGTGTCATCAATCAATCTTTTTTGTTTTAGTTGTAATCCAGTTCTAATTTGTTAATTTTCAAGAAACCTGTGATTCTCATTTAAAAAGAAAGAATCTACCTTTTTGATTATGTGATACAGCAGTGATGTGTCTGTCACTTGTCTTTTCCTTGTTTAATTCATTTTATACTTTCATAGATTTGTGTCAAATAAGGCATTTAAATGGCATGCACCAACAGTTTTCTCAAATCTGTTTCAGGGCACCAGTGGCTTTGGGCAAAGCTCTACTGAGTGGTGAAGATATGTACATGTCAGCCTTGAGAGGCAAAGGGGTCAGTGTTCTGCACATTGCGGGAGACACACTGTGGTGAGACCATAGCACAAACGACTTGTTTTTTGGTGTTGGATCTTTCTCTCTTGAGTATTCCACTATGTAACTGTGCCAAAATGTGTGAGCTGGCTTGTGCAAACCAGTTATTTGTCAGTACTCAGACGATATGAGTTATCAGCTCGGATTGGGAGTTTCAGAAAATTGCTTTCTCTGTGTAGACATTCACAATTTGATGAGAGGTATGAGTATTAGTTTTCCTATTGTCAGGTCAGGCCTAGTTTTTTTCTTTTTTATATAATATTTTGGAGAAACATGGCCTCTCTTTGGTGTATGTTTTACAATGGGTAATTTGATATGTACATAATTTTCATGAATGAGAGAAGTTGGAGAGTGTATTGCTTTTCCTACCCATTTCTATACTGCAGATATATATAACTTTTGAGTTTTTTTTAGCTTGATCCATAGTTATGTGTATCATAGCTGCCACTTTCCCGTTAAATAGCGGAAACTTCATCTAGCTTTTCCCGCTACTTTCCTCCTTCCTCCGCTGGACTGTCTCGGTCGCAAATTGCGATACTTTTTTTTTTTACACGCGGAAAACACCGAACCGGGAGAGAGGCAAAAACGCAGCTTGCGCATGTCCGCCCGTAGCTTTCTACTTTCGTTCTTCTAGGCCTAGCGCTAGTTTCACTTTGTTTATCGTGGAGCAACAAAGTCAAAGTGTCGATCGAGCATCCGGACGTTGGCGCGCCGAGTTGTCATTGAAAATGGCGGAAATTTGAGAGAAATTGATGCAGAATGCAAAAATAAAAGAAGCTGGAATGAGAAAGAAGCAGCCGGTGTGTGACTTGAAAGGTTCATTAGAAAATTGAACAAGCCGCTTGCTGCACTTTGCGTTTGGTGCGAAAGAAATCGCGGCCCACGGCACTCCTGTACAATTGCGGTCCCGTTTGTTTACATGACGGCTATTGTGGCTGTTGAAGTCAATCTAGATCTAGATAATCTATCTCTAGACATAATCTAGATTTACGCATATTTAGATATCCAGATCTAGATTAGATAGCCTAGGCTATAATTTTAATTCAGTTTAGATCTGCACACTACAGGGGCACTACTAAGTTAAATGCAAACAGGACCGCAATTGTACAGGAGTGCTCAATACAGCGGCAAAAGTGTTGCCTCCTTTATCCAATACTGCGCACGCTCTACATCGATGTACAAATTTAAAGTGAAAGAAATCTTTTTATAAGACACCAGCTGGCAACAATCACTGGATTTTTAGTCACCAAGTCCAAACTGTGTCAAATTGACTCAAATGCTTGTTAGTCAACTTAGTGCCTATGTTGTTTTGTGTTTTTTTTTTCAAATACATTTTTTAATTCAGTTGCCTATGGTTAACAAATATGACAGTTTTCCCTTCCAAAACCATAGGCTAAATTTTCCAGTATATATTACATATATTGCCTCTGGATCTCACTGGTTTTACTCCGGCCTTTGGAGAGCGCGCGTCCGCCTTCGCATGAATTTCCTCCTTTTTTGAAATTCCTGAGTGGCAGCTATGGTGTATGTATTATAATGCCTCCCAATGAAAAAAAAGTTGTGTTTCTTATTTACAGATGCACATGTAAATGATGTGTATATGCTTGCACATGTCTGTGTGTAACTGCGAATGAAGACTTTGTTTTTTAGTGCAGAATAATATATTTGTAATGGCAAGCTTAACAAAAATCATAAAGCTTTTGTTTTGTTTTTTGTTACAGTTTTATGTAGTGAGCTTTTTGGGTTCTGTTTCTGCCTATACTTATTCTCTGTGATGGTATGGAATTTTGTAATAAGACTTGAACCTTTCCTAATGTTTTCTGTCATAAGGGAATTTGGAGACAAGTCAAACCCGCCATGTATTCCGGAACCTGTACCCAAATCAGGTGAAGATGACGATGGTGACAATAAAGAAGGAAATCCTAATGAAGCAGTCGGAGCAAGTGTCGTGGCTGATTTAGAAAACGTTAAGGTAACTACCAGTTTAAAAAAAAATTTCCATTTGAAGTTGGAAGAATATTTTTGGAAAATGAATGGTGTTCTGTGGTCACTTTTCAACTCAGTGCCATCTTTTGGTTGGTTGTTAAGGTCTTTAAGTAGTTTTCTACTGGTGGGTAAAGAGCTATTGATGTTAAGAGGGGGAAGACAAAGTCTTTGTTTAAGAACTTGCAGGTTAGATAATTGCCACCAAAAGACATTGGACATTTTTATGAAGATGATCACAGAATGAGCACTTGGGTAGACATCTGGACTGATTCTGTTCACATGGTATTTTTGACCTTTAGGCAAAAGATTGTGGTTAGATCCCATCTTTAATTGGCTTTTATTTTCCTTTAACTTGAGTGTTCGTTTGTTTAACGGCTGGTCAATCATGCCAAACACCTAAACACGTCAATCCCCGTGCCTGCATATTCATCAAATCTTCGTTTACCTGTTTTGTGATGTTCCTGTATGTTAGGAGTAGTGACAGTAAGGCTATTTAGATAAAAGCCTTTCTCTGCAAGTCTAATTATTTTTTGCTTTCATGTATTTTTATCTTTCGTGGGATCCATGCCTAATTGAATGTAACAATAAAATATGATAGTAGATTCCTAGCCTTAACTCTCTGTGACCTCACTCTTTTTCAAATGATGACCAAGTCTGGATGAAGAAGCCAGGACGTATAGTTTTGCTTGGCTATTAGGTTTCTCATAAGTGTTACAGTTTTACTTATGAACTCTAGATTAAAAAAGAAAAATCCAAACTGAACTTTGTTTTTTTGTCTTCTTAGCCCGTCATTATCTCAAGATGTGGAGGGCTCCACTTTTACTACTCTCCTTTTGAATGTGCAGGGTGATCCAAAAAAAACCTTACAACTTTTTTTCTGAATATCTCGCGCAAAAATTGTTCTAGAATGCTGTAATTTGGAACAGACATAATTCATTCAAAAGGAATTTGTTTTATATAAAATCCATGAAGAAGAAACATGTTTTCAGACCTGCCACTCATCCCGATTTAGTCAGGATATCCCGATTTTTTTCCACAAATCTCAATCCTCCCGATTTTCCCGATTTTGATCTCGTGTATCCCGATTTTTTGTCCCAGTCTGCTGTTGTGCCAGATCTTTCTAAAAAATTTCTCTGCCTTCTCCTTTATCGCGGGAAGCACCCATCGAACTTTTTGTCAGTAGGAACTCGGAGCACTATTTCCCGAAATATCGATGCTGCATTTAGTAGTTGACTCACCCCAAGTTGTGTGTGATCTTTTCCCGCACTCAGAACTCTCCGATGATAGCCTGGTAACTGTTACAATTTGGGACATTTAATAATTGATAATATTGGTAGTTCTGCTGTTACTTTCAAAATAAGCCTTATCCGAGGTTTGGTAACTGCGCGTTTACATCAAACACTCGGACGAGCGACAGTCTTTCTAACCTTTACACAACTACATGTAACTACTCTGACAAGACTAACATACGGCCGTTGTGGTTGCTTTAGTCTGAACACATGAGGGATAAGAGATTTGTTGGTACATTTGGTCGGTCGACCGCCATCGTTATTCTAGAAGTAGAACGACTGTCGCTCATCCGAGTGTTTTGTGTGAACATGCAGTTAATCGGACCCGTTAGTAAAATTGTTTCAATCGTGCATTCGTGTCACGTGACATATCATCGCCGTGTGATTTCTACATGTAGGGGACCGTCAGTTGACGCGGTCAACTTAAGTATTTCGGGACTTATCGGTACGGGGGGGTAGACACTTGGACTAGGAGTGCTTGACGCGATGTTTCAGGATTTACAAAAAATAATGATAACTCGCACGTATGCACGTACGCACACACACACACTCACGCAAACACACACACACACACACACGCACATACACACGCACGCAAACAAACAAAGACACACAGAGGACATATAGGCCAAGGAATTTATGGACACCCCTGGAAAAATTTTAGGTCAGCTTTGGCAGTCATCTTTGTGATTTGCTGTTGATCCCGATTTTTTTCACCAAATCCCGATTTTTTCTCCCTGAGATCCTGATTTTGGGGTTTCATAGAGTGGCAGGTCTGTATTTGTAAAAGGAAACAGCTAAAAGAAAAAAGCACCCCAAAACGCAAAACTCACCCATGTTTAAAAATCTTGTAAAGAAATTCGTGAAAAGATTAGTTGACCTTTTTCTTTATTTTCTCTTTGACATTAATTCTCCATCCCTGTGACATTTAAACAATATTTAATTTCTTTTACAGAGTTTTAAAAACCTAATGATTTCATTCTGAAATTCCTAGAAGCAGTGGTCCACGATCCCTCCTTTGGACGGGACACATTTTTAACGCGCCATCGAAATGTTCAGTGGCGCCCTAACACAAGGACCTGCCAAACCATGAGTTTTTAAAGCCACATACACTGTACATGTTCACTAAGAAGTGGCTTTTAAAGACAATAGAGTGGGGTGCCCAATAGACAGCATTTTTTGAGTTACCATATCCTGCAGGGTGAAAATGGGCTTTGCACTAAACCAAATGTCATCGAGGAAATGATCCCTCAATACAAGACAATCGAGGAATCATGAACACATTGCCATGCTCTGATCCATGTCATCTCGGCCTAGCGAAGATGAACATGGTATAGTCTAGTGATGGGAAAAATCCGGATAACCGGATAATTCTAAGTGAAACATTATCCGAATTCAGACTCTTAAACTCTCTTTCCTGACCTGTTTGCCGAAAAGGGTGCACCCATTTGTTGAAGTGGTTATAACCCATTTGCCGAAGCGTTTCATAACACATTTGATCGACGAAGAGGTGCACTAATATATTATCAGGATTTTGCTAAAGCGACTCATTGCCCAGCCCTAGTATAGTCGTAAGTTAAGATCTGCCATGAGAATGCAGACTGTTGATGTGTAGGAAAGTCTTAGCTGCAGATCGTCTATGGACAGATGGCTCATGGGACTCAGTTACTGAAATCTGCAATCTGGTGACGTTAAAAGGGCTGCGCATGGTGCATGTTCGGCCTGAAGTGGTCATTTTTTAAAGAAGTTTTTAGTTCTGATGCGCTATAGATCCAAACTGACGGAACTTATCTACTCATAACGCCAAAGGTCTTGAGGGCACATAAGCATTCTCTCCTTGCCGTGCGCAGAACTTACGAAATGTCAGGGATGGTGAGTTTGTGGAGAGGAAATGTTCAATACAAAAAGCTATCTGCTCTTTTCTAAACTTTGCTATGATCTCAGCTGGCATACAAAATTTGGGAAAAATAATATCTGCAGACTTCTGTTGACTTGTTAGACTGCTGTAGCTTGCACTATGACGCAATTTTTGCTTTTAGTGGTAGGCCTAATGCGAACTGGTGCGTCATGCTATGAAAATGGCGACAAGGTTGAAAATGGGTTGTTTTTTTAATGTGCTATATAGAGCAAAACCATTCAATGGACTTATCTAAAATATATGTAAGAAAAATTCCTTTTGGCTCCCAAACGTTATGTTCAAATCTGAAACGCAAAACTTCAGTATGGAGGAAGATATTTACAAAAGAAGTTGTTAAGGGTTTTTTTTGGATCATCTGTAAATAAGGAGAGTGAAGGAAACTGACACTTTTTTGGCCCTTGTTTTTCGCTATGATTTAACTTTCTCATAAAAGTTTTGTGTATATTTGTATAGTATTTCATATTGCGGAGTTCAGTTCTGATGTTTGTTTCAGGGGCACTTTGCATTGTTTGTGCCTGAGTGAGTCACACCATGAAATCAGCCCAAATAAAAAGAGTGTGAATGATCCATGAAAAGTCTAATGGGTTCTGTTTCTGCCCACACTTGTTCTCTGTGTGCACACCGAAATGATTTACTGAAATGTCTCAACAGCATTGAAAATTCTGAGATACTAGAGATGTCCATCAAGAAACTTCTGTCCTCCTGCTGACTCTACCATGAAATTCTGATAGGTCTATCTATCTTTGAGTTAGTTGGGATGTTCTCTTCCTCTTTTTCCTCCTCCTCCTCGGTTTCAAAACAGTAGATTAGTATCTAGTAAGTAGCTGTTAATAATATATAGATGTTTCCATACTGTAGCTGTTTATTGTCTCTGTTTATATTTCAGCTTGAGGGTGATCCCACGGAGTCAGTCCAAGGTACTTCTGATGCTACAGAAGTTGATGACCAAAGTTCATTAGGAGCTGCATTGATGGAAGGAAAGGATGAAGGAGGGAGTGATGAGGAAGAAGATGAAGAAGAGCAAAGAGATCCTGTTGGTATGTGTTGATACAAATTTGGTATTCTTGAAAGGCTAATGGGATGTAACCAGTGAATAAGTCTTCACTGATTTGTTGTAGTAGGTCAATGCTATTTTCATTTGTTGTTGATTTAGGGCGTTTGATAGCCCAAAGATTATGTCGTTTCTTCTCCCAATTCAGAGCTTAGCTTGATTCGCTGGGTGTGCAGTTGTAGTAAATGGATTACTCGCCCCCCCCCCCCCCCCACAACACACACACACGCACATATGCACACCCATACATTTTCTGCATCTCTGATCATAAGGTACATACGGTAGTTGTTCTCATAAAGTGCTAAAACATGTTTTTATGATATGGAAATTCACATCATGCAGTGGCAACTGTGGATGCAACAACTATAGTTTTTTAAATGTCTGTTCAGTTGTTCATATTTTGTAGACTAGTCAAAAGTTATGGTGTGTTTCACAGCAATAGGCAAATAAGAAACACACAGCAAAAATGGTAAGTTCTGTGTAAGCTAAAATTGTCAATTTTTCTATTGTTTTGACAGCTGAAATGGATGAACGTCTTCATTTCTGCTTTGCTTGTGCTATCAAGGGGAGAGTGAAAAAGAGTGAACTGCCAGTACTAACAGGGAACTTTCTTCGAAACTACATGCAGCCATTCAGGTAGTCTTTTTGTATGATATTATTCTTACTAAATAAGTTGTGCATTACTTGTGTGCAATTCTACTTTATTCAAATTAACTCTTTTTATCCGGGCTACGAGTATACTCGTATCGAGGACCAGTCCGGGCTACGAGTATACTCGGAACAGCGATACGGTCATGTCAAAGAAGATAGTTCTGCTTGTAATTACCAAAATACGCAAATACGGCGATGCTACCTCTGTCTGAATATTTTAATTTTTCAATGAACAGTGGTTTCTTTGTTTTTGATGGGTGTAGAAGCTTGAAAGATGTCTCGAAAACGCACATTCACGACCGACGAAGTACTTTTTGAAATGGCGCTGGGTTGTGAGGGGGAATGGTACTAATTTGATGAAAGTAACTCTGAAATAAGTGCCGTAAATTCTGTTGTGGATGATAAGAAACAGGACTTAGACTCATCTAATAGCGATTCAGATCATGGTGAAGGGGTCAGTACTGGAATTCGTGCTCGATGGGTTGGGCTAGATCTAGATCTATAAAATCCAATGGGACGTTGTTGGCGCGGCAATCAGGGTCAAGTTCGAGGGTGGAATACACCTCAAAATCTACATTGTGCTATTGGTGTATTTCCTAACCACATACATTCACAAAAACTACATTCAATTTCTAACATAACTGCCAAATGTCCTTAAAATCTTTAGAGTAAATGTAAGAAATAAGGCACTTTGGACTATACGCACTGACTTCCGACTCAAACGGCGCGGCGGGCCCAGGACTGGTACAACTGGTACAGAGTCCGTGGCGGTACGGCTAGGATAAAAAGAGTTAATAGGATTTTCTGACATGTGATACAACCATAGAAAGCTGCCTCAAATGTCACTGCTTTCTTTTACTGTAAAAGTTTATGTGATTAGATAATATTTGCATAATATCAAGTGTTTATTTCTGTTTAAATATCATGTGTTTGACCTAATTGACATTCTATGTTCACAGTGCTGACAAACAGTTGGATATAAAAAAGTCTACCTTTAAAAAGGTAAGTTACCTTTATTATCGGCTGCTTTGTGTAAGACTCTGCTATATGCCATTTTGAAAAGGGACGTCTGTCATAAAGCAAGACAAATGACCATACTTGAAAGCTTGGCTTTATTAAACAAAAAATGTATCTCTCATTGGACTGGTAGACAGCAGCTGACGATGATATACAGGTGAACGGACACTGGACACAGCACAGCTGCACAACACACTGAGTGAGTGACACTCACAAACGCCGTGACAGATGAGACAACAAGCGAACAGAGACACAACAAGAGGAATATTACCACAACGTATGACAGAGTCTTACATCGAGCAGCCGCTATGTCTTCTGATCAGTTAAAAAGAGGAATTGCTTGTGAAAATGACGTTATATTCCCTTTCTAGAGTCTATCGTTTGAAATTATGTCACAATTTCTTTCCATAGACTGATTGAATGCTCTCTTTTGTGCTGTAATCCCTTATTTTCTTGCTCAAGATCTTGCATTATGAATACAGCACAGAGTGGAAATATTGTCCTTTCTCGAACAGACTGTTGTTTTGTTTATCATAGAGTTGATTAACAATAGAAGTAATGCCTTTGTCGACTAGTACTTTTTACTTAGGAAACTCAAAACTAGACACATGCTCACCACCAAGATGAGATGGAAAATATTGCCTTTGAATCACTGAAAGGTAAATTATAAGAAGTAGTATGGAATAAGGAGATACTACTTACTGCGTGGAAAGGAACTGGGCACCCTACCACAATATGCCGAAGGCCCCGGAAGTTGTCTCACTAATAAGGCAATCCCCAATGTCCGGATCGGATGCAGGAACAACTTTACTTACTGCTTATAAACATGTTTCTAAAAGGTGGCTCTCAGATTTAACATTCTTAGTAGGAAGCTGAGGATTTTATTTGGTGTTTGATTTGTTTTCCCCTATGACTTTTATATTGCGAGTGCCCATCATTAACTGGTTGGGTCTGTTTGACTGCAATGAGGATCTTTATAGAATTTGATTCTCTCTGTTCAACCACTCTCTGAGGTTGCATTGTGGTTTTTGAGAACCTTTTCTCATTAGAAGGGGTTGAAAGTGGCTTTTTCAAGCACCCATTTCTGTCAATTATGTTTAGAAGTCATGTAAAAATGGGTTTTAAAAATAATTTGCAATTTTGGGTCTTGTTTTATAGTTTTTTCCGATCAAATGTACACATAAGAAATACAAATGCCACATAGCAAGTTCAAATGCCATATAGAAAGTTTCATGCCACATAAAAGTTCAAATGTACAATAGGAAATTTTAGTGTACAAATAGCAAATCCAAATGTAACACAATAGCAAGTTCAAATGCCACATAGCAAAAGCAAATATCCTCCGCAAAGATTATTCAGCGTGAAAAGCATTTTAATGTGCTCAAACTGAGTTGACGACACCCACAAGCAGTTTAATTTTAAATTGAATTGTTCCCCATTAAAAAAATCCCGAGGATGCTCCCGCGGAAAGAAATTCAGATAGGACGGAAGCAACTAGACATCAATATGCAGCATGGCTGCTGCAAAACATTCAGCGGTATGAATTTGCCTTTATTGAGGAAGCTGGTAGCAAGCCGTTGACGAATAGAAACCAATGAAGAGCACGGAGTGGTCATTGCTTTGTTCGAGTAATGCAGGGTCGAAGGGGACCGCACCGCACTATGCCTAATTTGCTGTCAGTGACGAGGATGGCCTGGCCTTTTACGACTTTCAAGTAGAGGGAATGGCAACTTTCGTTTCAACCCATCCCTCTAAGAAACTGGTCCAACAATACCCACAACAAAGTATGCTTTGTATGTAACAATGCTCGTACACAAAGGCAGGCTTTGAATAGCCACTCATCAATAGATTGGGGAAGAAATATCTACCCCCTACACACCTTTTCTGAACATCTATGAGAACGCTTGTGAATTTGGAAATTTTATGCAATTTGAAACCGTGGCTCGGTGAAGCAAAAGACCAAATGCTCACTCAGCTGACTTATCTACAAAGGAGTGTCACACTTGCCCAGATGATGGAACAAAAAACACAAGCTGTGACTATAGTGAAAATGGCAGCAGCCTTCAGATCAATGCAAGCCTATAGCCATAGTGATTTTTTGTGCAACAATAAGTAAATAAAAGTGAACTTTGCTTTTGATTTCACTCAGTTAGTTCTATATATATATATATAATATACCAGCAGTATGCTGATTTGTATCATGACCATTCGTTTCTGTTAAACATGTTAGTTTATTTTCGATTTTTAACATAATATTTAACTGTTACTTTCGTTTCACATGATTTCTTCCTTGTTGCACCACACGGCTTACGTCTAACTTTTTCGTGGCCAAAAAAACTCAAACCCTTTTACTTCTTACCTTGATATACTTCTTATACTTTAAGCCTTCTTTTTATTTTTAGTAAGAGTTTTACTGCAATTGCAACACAATAAGGTTATATAAGTGCCGAAGATTAGAGGTGTTACTAGAGAGTAAAGGACAAAAAAAGAAGGAGGAGAGATCAGGATGATAGATGTTAGATAGGAAAGAAGGAGCAAACCACACCAGAGCACCCGCCAACTACCAACTTAGCCTCCTTTTACTCTAGTTCAAGCATGTGTTACATTTGAGATTTCTATGTTTACATTTGAACTTGCTATTGTTGTATTAGGACTTTTTATGACGTCATTTGTATATTTGGACTTGCTAGGTGTAATTTGGTCTTTCTATGCGGTCTTTGAATTTGTTATGTGTATATTTGAACTGAAACAACTAGAAAATATTTTCTTCATTTTTTAAAACTTTTTTTTTTTCCGACTTTACATTATGTCTCCCCCATTATTTGTCATCTGAATGGCTTCATTGTTTTACACAATGTGTGTCCATAGGTGACTGAAATAGGGCCTTTTTTGAAGATAATAAGAAAATAAAGTTACCATCAGTGTTTTTGTTGGGAATTTGAGTTTTTTTTCTATTTGTCCATAGTACATATTTCCAGAGTCCATAATTATTTTCATAATCGTAATATTACAAATCTGGCGTTATTTGTTCAATACATAGGTGTTGTAGTTTGTACTTACTAAAAATGAAAGCCAGCGGACGAAAAATAAAGGAGAAAATAGCTTTTGAAATTTTATGAAATTATCAAATGTAGTGGACGTTTGCTTGGTTACCATAGTTACCATGGTTACCATGATTACCATGGTTATCATGTGCTTATAATATAATAATAAATAATTAATTGAATTGTTTTCTTTGATGTCTGACTAATATAAGTATACCATCGTTGTTATATTTAGTCAAGGGATATGGATATTAGAAATTTCACCAGCAGATGGCCTTTATACTGAATTTGATTACAGTCTTAAAAAATGGGCTTGATTTAGTGAGTTGTATATAAAAGCAGTATTGATATTCTTTTTGCTCCTCAGTTTTCAAAATTTTTGCAGTTGAAAGTGAAAGAAGGTTATATATGTATGAAGGAGCAAAGCAAGGGAGTGGATGTGATTACAGAGATCGACAAGTCTCATTTAGGGTGAGTTACATAATATGAAGTTAGGCGTGTGTATGTTCAGATTGTTATCACTACTTTCACTGGTGGCTGAACTTTTCTGTTTAGTACCTGCTGTTTTCACACATGTGTTTGTTGAGCTGTTTTGGGAAGCGTGTCAGTTTTGCTGGAACTTTCAGAATTTTTGAAATCTCAGAATTTTTACCAGTTTGCTACAAGTACAAGTGATATTGGTATGTATGGATGAGGTAGATGTGTCTATTGTGGGTGCAGTTCAGTAAGTGCATCAGGGGTTTGCTGGATCAGAATGGCAGGCCTGTTTCTTAAAATAAGCCCTTGTATAGGGTGCTGTTAGTGTTAGCTCTTTATTATTGTGCACCTTTCCTATGGAATGCGTTACTTAATATCTCTTTCTCTCTATCTGTTTCTCCCCTTCCTGTCTTTCTTGATCTATCTTTTATGCTTAGATTACAAAATTATGAGCTACCGGCTTAATTAAAAGACTAACCTTACAGTTTCTACTAGGAAGGTAGCTCAAGTGTGGATATTTTGTCAGCTGTAAAGTACTTATTTACGACATTTCAAGTGTTGGAACATCTGTTGTTATCTCAAAGATTCCATTTCTTTTGCAGCTTCATACTGGACATTGTTAAGAAGTAGAATGAAGAAAACTTTTCCTGTTTTCACTTTTCTTTCATTTGAGCAAAGCCATGAGGCCACATGGTTTTAGTTGTTTTTGTAGCGGCACTTTCATGTTTTTAAATGCATTTTAAAAAAATCTTTCCTCAGACTTCGAGACATTGAGGTCCCTGAGGTTGTGGAGGCAGCTGTCGCTGGAAAAGGAGAGCAGACAGAGGAGGAGACATTCACACCACTTTCTTTTACTGATGTGTACTGCATAAATGCAGCAACTCAGGACATCTTTAAAGAAGAAGGGTTCTCGTAAGTTGCATGTAGCAATTTAAATAACCATAAGTTAGCACACCCAGAAAAAAAAGTTGTTATGTAATTGTTGGTCCATCTTGAGCAGAAAGCAATAATTGAATGAATATTTATCTATCAATCACTCATTTTCTAAAAAATGCAATACTTGTTGAATATTCTCATCTGCCACACCTTTTTATTTTGATCAAATAAATTCAAACTATATTTAGTAGTAAGTTGTGCAGTCTCTGCCTAAGATCCTGGTGCTTGAGAGCAAGGAAAATGTGGGTCTTAGGTGAATGGGATCTTAGCCTTCTTAGAGGAGAATCTATGGCCACTCATGGCCAGGCCCACAATAAATAAAATGGTCTTCTCTTAATCTGAAATGAACTGATGTGGGTTTATGACTTATGGCGAGCAAAGAATGGTTAACCTTGATGACTAATGACAATCGCATGAGGTGTGCTGTTTTCACTTATTCAATCATGAGTTTCAAGATCTACACCAATCTTATTGCTCCTCCCCTTTACCTGTGCAAAATTTATAGCTTTCCATCTCTGACCGAGTTCCTCCGCCTCTGTCGTATCGCACCATTTTATTTTGACCTCACCAAGTAAAATCCAGTCTGTCTAGCAAACTCAGGGGCAGAGGCAGCTGCAATAAGTCAGGGAGAAAAAAGCACCGAAGATTCACAGTTTGATGTGATCACATTTAATAGGGACTTGTGGGTGGCTGGCGGGTGCTCTGGTGTGGTTTGTTCCTTCTTTCCTATCAAACATCTATCTTTTTAATGTTTGTTACTCTCTTGTAACACCTTTAATCTTCGGCTCTTATTTGACCTTATTGTGTTGAAAGTGCCGTAAAACTGTTACTGAAACTTAAAAAAGGGGACTTGTAGACTCTACCCACCCAGCTTGTGATGTTACCTCATGTGGAGAGCTCAGATGCGAGTGTGGTGTACTTGGAAAATAAATGCCTTGATGAGTTCACACCTTAATGTGAGCCTTCTTTAGGCAAATGTTGTACCCTTTTGTCTACGTTTTCAGTGGAGCTGTAATCACATTCACGAGAGGGGACGATCCATGATACAACGTGCAGTACAATAATCGCAAATTTTCATAGCTTCGTTGATCAGCTTTGCCCGCAGGGTCTCCACCCCCCCCCACCCCCCCAAATTATGATCTAAAATGTGGGATCATAGTCGGATGTTTTCAGAGTGGGATGAGATCTTTGGGGTGACTTTTGAGTAATAAAAATTCTGTTTCCTTAAACATCGGGATTTTGAATTAAACAAACTTGGGTTGTAAGCGATTGGATATTAGGTAGAGACTACTGTATCTGCATTTTTGATCAGAATGGACTGTGTGTAACAAAGTTTGTGAAATGTATGAATTTCAGGACAAAGTTTATTTGCAGTGTGTGCAAATTAACTATTGCCTTTGGTTTAAATATTCTTATTTTGTTTTTTTACCATTGCTTATTTCCACCATAAAACCTCAAATTTATTCCTATTATGCACTTTCCAGGAAAGGTGATGCTTTGATAGTTGCAGATGTCCGTCAGTGTGTCACGAATTACATCAGGAACAACAACCTACACAGAGAGGATGACAAGAAGTAAGTATGGAGGAGGTTTGTGGTGACATGATCTTGAAATATAAAATAAGGTAGGATAATACTCCATTCTCCCTGTGAGACTTTTTTAAATGGCTTTACAGGAATGTTAGAAACACACGTAAATATACCTATAATTTAATTTGTGTATTATTTTCATGAAAGAATTTCAATATGAAGAGAAAACAAAAGCTGGCATTAACCCAACATGTCACACCGGATGCATCTCTGAAACCACATGCAGCAATTTATCACAGATATGTACCTGATAGATGCATATGATAATAGTAATAGGATGCAACATTGTATGCTACTTAAAGTGACCAAGATGGTGGATTAGAATGAACTGGCCGGCTAAGGGAGTCATTATAAAATTGAATGAGTGTGAACAACTCCAGTGTCTACTCACCTTGTGAGGCAAGGTCAAATTAAGTTTCTCGTTTTTCTTACAAGAGCAATAATACAGTGGAGCCTGCTCAAACAAAAATCTGCGGGTCTGACAGATTTTCTTCAGTTTAGCCTGGTTTTCAGTTTAAAAATGTCACTCAAATAGAACATTAACAATCAATTTTGGATTTTATTTTCTTTCTGTTTACCACTGTTTTCAATTTCGAATTAACTTTGTTTGTATGTTTTCTGACTTGATTGGAAAAGTGGCGTCTATCCCATTTTACCAATTTATCCATTCTCATTCTTTTCCAAAATCTTGAGGGAAAGCCTTTTATGCCTACGGTGGGAAAGATTGAATGTGTGTTTTCCCTTGAGACAAGAGGATATGGAACTTTTTACCCTGAAAAGGCTTTGTCCTTGAAAACAAGGATAAACAGTATTTGAACAGTCTTTGCACCAATATTGAATTTGATTCTGCATGGAACAAGCTCAGTTTGTTGTGGATTAGTATATTTACACTGTTGTTTTTGTTCTTAGCTTTGCAGAAAGTTATTCTTTTCAAGTCAGCATTATTTAGTTGATGATTAGTGGACACTCTGATGGGGGTTCTCTTCTCTTTTCCTTTGACTTGTATTTTTCTCCTGTCTCCTTCTGGTAAAATATAATTGTTGCATCAATTGATTTTATACTGTAACCCAGTACTACCATATTAGGAGTTATTAATTTTTCCTTTTCTTCCCTCAAGGCAGGTCACCCTGGATCCTGTGCTAGCTCACATTATCTTAAAGCCAGCTGAGGGGGATCTGGATCATATGAATTGGGAGCAAGTCATTAACAGGTAGATTTAAAAAAAAGAATAGTTTGTTAATTTGTTTTTTAAAATTTCAAGTTTAGAAAAAGAAATCTGTTTTCAAAATGAGCAGGTGGTTGGTGGTGGCTTTGATTTGGTCTGCTCTTTCAACTTCTTTCCAGTATCTATACTCTTTATCTACTTTTTCAAAAATGGGTCATTTATCATGCTGACTTGCCATGCACTTTTTTTTTAAACAACCAGAAGACCATAGTGGTGATAATTATTTCTGCTTTTATCTCTTTTCCTGGGCTTGGCACTGATATCCTTCACAATCTTAAGGAAAGTACTTCTGGAGGGTAAGTCATGCATACATCATTGTTAAGTGTGAATCAATATATGACTCACTGAGGTCAGTGACACTCATTTCTTCAAGTATCAGCATGAAGTAGGTATATTTGCAGGAGGCTGGGTTATATAAAGCCAAATGAACAGATGTTACATGCAGGAAAGGTTAGAATGTATTCTGCTGTGAGTGTAGAACGTTCCTGATTTTGTACAGACTCCTCGTGACGGCTGTGGCCAATTTGACCAGATAATTCTGAGATTATGCCAGTTTGATACAGCGCAATTCAGTTTTCCAAGAATGCCAGAATCCAACATGGGTGAATTTACCCTCTAGATATTAAAACTTTTAGCTTAGTTAAAGTAATAAAAATGTCTGTTGGATTCCTCAAACTATCAAGTCATTATTTCCTTAAACAAACAAGTATTAAGTAGGTTATCTGTTTGATTCTTTCACTTTGAGTCAAGACGCTTTTGTAGTGGTATAATTTCTTTTAGACCTATTGCTCAGGGGCCATATCTGAGAGTGGTTGCAGTTTATTTTCCTCACTTTCCATTTAGTTGATATAGCTAGGCTGACCTGTTTTATGCTTTAGACTGGACCTTTTACTCACACCTTGTGGAATAGGTCTCTTTTGCTTCTTCGCTGTTGGATTTGTTTTGTACCATTATATATGTCAGTGTTGTTTTGTACATTTTGGGATGTTAAAATAACCTCAAAATTATTTTTTATTTGCATTTTACCTGTCATTGTAACAAATTTTTAGAAGTATATGGTAAAAGGAATTTTCTTTTTTCTTTTCTTTTGTCACTTATCTCAGGGTGATGGGCAAGATGCAGCAAGCCACTGCCATCATCTCTGGCTCTGGCCCTCCAACCATCAAGAAGGGAAAACTGGACCCGATCAAGCTAGACGTGGCCATGAGAGCTTCCCAAAAGAAGGTCTGATTTCTTTGGTCAATATTTTCTTTTGATTGATTACATATTTTGTTGTATTTTTGCAGTACTTTGACCTGCCCTTTTGGACTTTGAATCTTTAGCACATCACTGTCATTTAAAGTTTTTTCTTCATGTTGTTGTATCAGTTTTGTGAAAGGTTGCTTTGTTTTCTTCATGCAAACATTTTAAAATGTCATATTACAAAGTTTTATGGATCAGAAAAGAGCAAAAAATTAGGCTGTCCAAGATTTATGTTAAAACGGAGGGTGTTTTTAAGGTTGTCATGGCAACCAAACAATGTTATGTTGTTTTGGTCCCGGGAAAGATTTATTTAGGTTATGTTGCGTTTTTTTCAATTTAGCCTTATGATGAATTTGCTTCCTTTAAAACTCGGCTGAAATGAAAGTTCTGTCTTGTGAGTTTCTTGTTTAGACTACGTATCTTAATGATAATTAATATTTTTAAAAAGTGAAGCTGGTATTGCTCTCCAATAAGAATAAACCAAGGTACTGCTCAAGTGAAGTTCACCTGCCCAAAGAAGGGAAGGGTAACAATGATCTTCATGTAGTGGTGGCCATTATATGTCACTTCTGTTGTACTTTACATGTTCCTGGTTCTGTTCCCTCATCTTTTGCATAGGACTTTTTTGGTCACTTTTTTGCGGACTCCTTTAACAAATGGTCGTTGAAATGTAGGTGCCGCTTCTTAGATAACCTGAGAAGTGCATTAAACACATCAACAGTATTTTATCCTGTACTGTGCATCCATCATTCGATGGCTGGATGCCAGACTTCGGCAACACCATTTTTGAAGTTTGATGTATGTCAGTCTTGCACCCAGCCATTGCATTGTGTAGGCGGTTGGCGGGTGCTCTGGTGTGGTTTGTTCCTTCTTTTCTATCAAATATCTATCTTTCTTATTTCTTCTCCTTCTTTACTTTGTATTTGTGAGGCAGCGTGGTGG